GATTACCGGCTGAGCCACCAAGCCCGGCTCATACACAATTTTTTATAAATAAATTCTGGGTTTTGTAGGGTGCCCTCCCCCTATAGAGGAGCTGTGTTGTCCTGGGGAGTTTAACCTGATTTGTAGTGGTTGTGGGTTTCTGGCCCATTTCAAGATATCCACAGGGTGTCCACAAATTTCTAGCAAGTTAGCCCTCGGTTCTCACAATCCTATGTTCCCTCCCAAAGTAGCTGTCTCCCAACCTCAGCCAGCATCATTGCTCTGCTTTCTGTTAATAGTTTTAACACTAACATGTGCATACCTGAGACAGATAGCTGAATCTGTCTATTTCATTTTTATTTGCATTTTAGTAATTGCATCTTTTCTATCAAGAATGACACACATCCAGAAAAGTGCACAGATTGTAAGTTAACACCTGGGAGAAATCTCACAAACTGAATCCTCTTTCTTTTCTTTTCTTTTCTTTTCTTTCCTTTCCTTTTCTTTCTTTCTTTCTTTTTCTTTCTTTCTCTCTTTCTTTTCTCTCTCTCTCTTTCTTTTGTTGACAGGGTCTCACTCTGTCACCCAGTCTGGAATACAGTATTATGAACACAACTCACCAAAGCCTCCAACTACTGGGCCCAAGTGCTCCTTCTGCCTCAGCCTTCTGAGTAACTGGGACTAGAGGCACCACCACACCCAGGTAATTATTTTACTTTTTATAAAGACATAATCTCACTATATTGCCTAATCTGGTCTCAAACTCCTGGGCTAAAGCAATCTTCCTGCCTTGGCCTCCCAAAGCACTGGGATTCCAGGTATGAGCCAATGCGCCCAGCCAAGTATTGTTCTTTCGATGGGACTCCATTTTTTTTTTTTTTGAGTTGGAGTCTCACTCCGTCGCCCAGACTGGAGTGCAGTGGCTGCTCCCGGCCACCGCAGCCTCGACCTGCTGGGCTCCGGCGATCCTTCCGCCTCAGCCTTCCGAGAAGCCAGAATTACAGGCGCGCGCTACCACACCTGGCTGATTTTTAAATTTATTGTAGAGATGAGGTCTCCCTGCCCAGGCGGGTCTCGAACACGCAGGCTCAGACAATCCACTCACCTCGGCCTCCCAAAGGCGCGGGATTACAGGCTGAGACACCGAGCCCTGCTGGGACTCTATTTTTTTGATGACAAAAAGCACAGCCTTACTTTCTGGCACCACAAGATGCTGTGGGTTTATCTTGTGTTTTTCCTTCCCCAGTCCTCAAATCAACTATTCCCCAAGGCACTCGGGCTCCTTTTATTGGACAATGAAACTGAGAAACCAAGAGCTAGAGCTAGGTATTTGGTGTGCTAATTTTTACTGCGGGCATGAGGGGACACAGAGTGTCGTTGTTTCTAGGCCTTTTTGGCACATAGCATGATATTAAAACTTTTTTTTGGCTAGGTATGGTGACTCACACCTGTGATCCCAGCACTTTGGGAGGCCAAGGTGGGAGGATTGCTTGAGCCTAGGAGTTTGAGAACAGCCTGGGAAACATAGCAAGACCTCATCTCTACAAAAAATCAATAATTCGCTGGGCATGGTGGTGTGCACCTGTAGTCCCTGCTACTTGGGAGGCTGCGAGGGGAGGATTGCCTGAGCCCAGGAGGTAGAGACTGCAGTGAGTGGTAATCATGCCACTGCACTCTTCAGTCTGGGGGACAGCTTTTTTTTTTTTTTTTTTGAGTTGGAGTTTCACTCTGTAGCCCAGGTTGGTGTGCAGTGGCATGTTCATGGCCACCACAGCCTCGACTTGCTGGACTCAGGCAATCCTTTCACCTCAGCCTTCCAAGTAGCTGGAATTACAGGCGCATACCCCCACACCCGGTTAAATTATTTATTTATTGTAGAGATGTGGTCTCGCCAAGTTGCCCAGGCTGGTCTCAAACCCCTGGGCTCAAGCAATCCTCTTGCCTCCACCTCCCAAAGTGATGGGATTACAGGCGTGAGCTGCCACACTTGGCTAAAGAAACCCACAACTTTTTTAAAGGTAAATTTTCTATAAAATCAAGTTAACCCTTTTAACATTACATGTACACACATGTCCGTAGCAGCATTACAACAGTCAAAAGGTGGAAACAAATGTCCATCCACAGATGAAAAAGCATTGTGTGGTCCTACCCATACCATGGAATACTCCTGAGACATAAAAGGCTGGACTCAGTGGCACAGCCTGTAATCCCAGCACTTTGGGAGGCCGAGGCGAGTGGATTGCCTGAGCCTGTGGGTTCGAGACCCGCTTGGGAAACTTGGTGAGACCTCGTCTCTACAATAAATCAAAAATTAGCCGGGTGTGGTAGCACACACCTGTAGTTCCCACCACTTGGAAGGCTGAGGCAGAAGGATCGCCAGAGTCCAGCACGTTGAAGCTGGGGTGGTCGTGAGCATGCCACTGCACTCCAGCCTGAGCGACAGAGTGCGACTCCAATTTAAAAAAAAAAAAAAGCCGGGCTCGGTGGCTCAGCCTGCAATCCCGCGCCTTTGGGAGGCTGAGGTGAGTGGATTGCCTGAGCCCGCGGGTTTGAGACCCGCCTGGGCAGCGAGACCTCATCTCTACAATAAATCAAAAATCAGCCGGGCGTGGTAGCGCATGCCTGTAATTCCGGCTACTTGGAAGGCTGAGGCGGAAGGATCGCTGGAGCCCAGCAGGTCGAGGCTGCGGTGGCCGGGAGTGGCCGCCGCACTCCAGTCTGGGCGACAGAGTGAGACTCCGACTCAAAAAAAAAAAAAGGAATAAAGTCCTGACACCCGCCACGACATGCAGGGATGTCTGAAACATAGCGCCGAGCGAAGGAAACCAGACCCAGTGGCCTCGTCGTGCGTGACTCTAGTTACGTGAAATGTCCAGAACAGGCAAATCCACAGAAACAGGAAGCTGGTCGGTGGTCGCCAGAGGTGCTGGTCGCACAATCCTATGAATGTCCTAAATGCTGTTGAGCGGTGCACTATTCAGATGGTTGATTTTGTGACATCAGTTTCATGTCACTTTCAGAACGACAGGGGCTCTGATCTTGGGCAGGTGTGAGTTTAAATTCCAGCTCTGCCTCCTTCCTGTTGTGTGACCTTGAGCACATCACTTAACCTTTCTGCGTCTTGTTTTCCTCATTGGCAAAACAGGGATGATTCAACCAGTGAGTCAGATTCTTACAACACAGTCTTGGGCCTGAACGAGCGCTGTTTAAATGTTATTTCCAGGGGATGCATTCCCTGAGGATTAGAACTTTATCCCTGTGTCCTTTCTTCAGTCACAGACTCCCTGGCCCCGGCCATCCCTTCTCCCCTACCCTCTGTGGGTGTCATGGGCCAAGGGCAGCATTCCAGGTCAGAGGCCATGGCTGCTTATGCCGCTTCTAAAGGATTCATGAATAATGCATTCTTCCCTCTGCCTCTCCTCTAGACAACTCCTCAAGGGACGCTCTCTTCCAGCCTGGGGTTGGCAAAGGATAAACATTCAAGAAATAGTTGCTGCCTGACTGTCTAACTTAACTGACGGGCCCCAAGCCAGAAACCTCTCTTGTGTCCCACAGAGAATCAGAGTTTGGGGTCCAACATAGCTGAGTTCAAATCCCGATTCCTGTGTGACCTCAGGCAAGGCCCTCTACCTCTCTGAGTTCCCTGAGATGGAGGTGATAGGCGTATCTGCTTCATCGGACTGTGGGGGGCTTTGGCCAATTATATAAAGTTCCACGAGCCCTACACAGCACCTGGTAAGTGCAGAGGGGTGAATGGTGGCCTGTAGGAAGGTATGGCCACATCCTGACCCCGGGGGCCTAGGAACATGGTCTTGGAAAAAGTCTTTGGAAATGTAACTTAGGGCCCTAACATGAAATCATCCTGGATTGAGGTTGACTCTAAATGAAGCGTTTTTTTGTTTTGTTTTGTTTTTTTGGCGGGGGCTGGGGCAGGTAGGGTTTTTCTCTGTCGCCCAGGTTGGAGTGTGGGGGCATGATCACAGCTCACTGCAGCCAACTCCCGGGCACGGCGTGAGCCACCATGCCCAGGTGAGATACTCTTTTTCACCTGTTGCATTGGCCAAAAACCAAAGCGCCATGACACACACTGTTGGTAAAGCTATAAGGAAACAGGACGCTTACCCAGTGTGAATTGAGCTAACCCTGAGGGGGGACATTTG